TATGTTTGAATTGTCGGTTTTCTTGTCAAATAATAAGTCAGGTGTTAAGCACCTTAACAGGGAATAAAACATTCTTCTGAAAGTAGACAGGAACAAGGAGCGGACTGAAAATGAAAGAAGAATTTGCTTCAGAAAGTCAGAAGAACTATTGCTCAAGACCAGTTTATGAAAATAACAAGAATGTCTGGCTTCTTGGAAGTGAAATGAGGGGTGACTCAATACTGTTGCACAGTACTGTATTTATTTATTTATTTTTAAATGAAATAATTCTTCTTTTTTAATTTGATGCCACTGAAAACTAAAGGCACCTGGTGGAACATCTCTCTATACTAATTAGGTTTGTTGGCAGCAGGTCAGTAACATGACTGGGTTTAAAAACACTGCCACACATGCAGACTGAGCCTCTGGTAGTTGTGGTCAGAACTAACACACCACATTTTGGGTAATAGTGCGTGGATCTTACCCAGTGAGGTGTAAACATGGTTTATACATGTTATGTCTGTTGAGACCGCAATAATAAAATCATTTTGCTCAACCCCGAACAGTTACTCTGCTTTATTTTGAATGGCACTGGTCCATTATGAGTCAAATTTGAATAAAGCCTTTGAATAAAGTTCAAATGGTGTCAACTGATTTAGATAGTAAAATAACAGAAACCATAGTTTTACACTTAATACATGGCAAAAAAGGTATATACTTGTTGAGTCACTGCATGCTCTGTTTTCAACAAGTCAAACAAACAAAATTCATCTAAGCTTTTTCCTTTTGGTGGTGAGGGGCACAAAAAGACTTGCTTTTGCTTATGCTCGTATTTTCTTAAAATGGTAAAGAAATCATTCTGGTGGGGTAACAAGAAGTCAGCTGGTTTCAGTAGCTGATCGAACCGCTTTTAATCCTTTGTAGTTGGGTCTAATTTAACTCAATGCAACATTTTTTCTTATTTTCACCTTTTCTGTCTTGTTTATGCGGACAGACACTTAAAAGAAATGTCTTTGGTAATATATTGTATTGATAACCTTTGGAAATATTTCCATTCACGGGAAATTGTAATGCAATGACAGACAGATGCAAAGAACACTAAGTTTTATACTTTCCCTGTGTACTAAAGAAATCAGAGATCTGATTACAAACTGCGACAGACTGGCGACCTGTCCAGGATGTACCCCGCCTCTCGCCCTATGACAGCTGGGATAGGCTCCAGCACCCCCTGCGACCCTGAAAAGGATAAGCGGAAGCAAATGGATGGATGGATGATTACAAATCCATAATAAGTCCAGAAAAAGACAATAAAGTCAAGTTCAAATATGATCACATGTGATTTTCCATCTCACTAGAGATCACTTTGATAAGAACGCTGCATGAACAGTATTTTAGAATTGTGTATTTTGCTCATTGATGATTGTTTTTTAAGCTTCTAAACTGCAGGTTTAATAAGAAGTTAAACTGCACTTTGTTTATATCTTCCCAAATCAGTAGCAGCCACATTTGGAGGCTTTTCATTAGTGTTTTTTAAGACCTTTTAATTCTGATTGGTGTAATTACCAGTAATTATCATCGCTAATGATGCTTATTACCTCTGCCTCTGGATGTTTTCATTTGCAGCAATGGTAATTAGCTTATCTACATCCCTGTTACCAGTACCTAGACAGACTGTTAAATCCTCGAGCCTCCAACATCTAGCTACTGATCTGTAACCTTTTTGGAACAATTATTAGACTTGACACAAAAAACAGAAGGTGGGGCTACTTTTTGGATAAGACAGATAATACGAATTAATTTAACTTATTAGAGGATATAACTTATTATTAAGTTACATACCAAACGCCAACTTTAGCAAGGTACACCTTGCTAGTCCCAGGTTAGCCCCCTTTTGCTATAAAAACTGTTTTAATTCTTCGTGGCACTAATCCAAAATGGTGCTGGAAAATTTCCTCTGAGATATTGGTGCATATTGAAGTGACAGAATCACACAGTTGCTGTTCATTTATCGGCTGCGTGCCACCACAACCACCTCTCAAAGGTGCCCTATTATCACAATTTTTGGAAGAATATTATTAACCAAAATGGATAGTTTATCTAGATTTATATATCCAGCTTACTCTTTATCAATATCAAATAAAGTTATTAAAACAATTAATAGCTTGAATTTTAATTTTATTTGGAGGAATAAGTGCCATTATATATCTAAAGATGATTTGGTTAAACCATACATTGAAGGTGGTGGAAACACAATTGACTTTGATATAATAAATGGTGTTTTGAAACTTAAATGGTTAAAATCCTTCCTAAATAATCCACACTCCATTTGGTTTTTTATACATAAGGTCTTTGACACATTGGGGGGTATCGACTTTCTCCTAAAGTGTGACTTTGAAATTACTAAGCTACCTGTTAAACTCTCTGAATTCCATAAACAGGTCCTTCTTTATTGGAAAATGTTATTTAAACATGATTTCACTCCACATAATAGCCCAATTTGGAACAATTGATATATACTGACAAATAGAAAATCTATTTTTATTCAAGATTGGTTATCAAAAGGTGTTTGGGCAATTGCCCATTTTGTAGATGAGGAAGGACATGTTCTAGGACATCAAGATTTTTGCCAAAAGTTTAATATCCAATGTTCTAAAAGTAAATTTAATCGGGTTATAAAATCCATTCCATTGTCACTTAAAAACATAGTTGTAAATTATATAATATATTCTGACATCTCCCACAAGTTAAGGCAATTATATATAAATGGTTTTCGGTTTTGTGATGTTAAATGCAATAATAAGTTTCTAAGATCTTCATTAAGGAGTCTTTATTCTCTAAATTTACTTAGACGTAATTACATATTAAAAGATTTCCAAAGGGAAGAAATTGAAAGAATAAGAACTGATTACATCACCTTCCCTATTCCTCCTAAAGGGAAAGAAGTCCAATTTAAAATTTTGAATAAAATGTACCTGACAAATAGACTCCTTGGTGATAGATTCAAAATAGAAACTGGTAATTGTATATTTTGTAAAACAGAAGAGGAGGATTTGGACCATCTATTCTTTTTATGCAATTTTATAAAAATATTTTGGTTGGATTTTCATACCTGGCTTTATTCCAGTGGGATTCAAATTACCCCATTTACCTTAAATATGATAATGTTTGGAGTGTTTTTGAAAGAAAAGAAAGCTAATTATGGTGTTAATGTGTTATTAATCTTGTGCAAACAATTTATACATAAATGTCGTTTTTTAAGACCAAACCAACACTAGCTTACTGGAAAAACAACTTAAACCTGTTGGTTAAATCTTTGACTTTATATTTTCTTTTTCCTATATATTAAAGTTGCCATTATGTAAGGAATGTCTATTCTCTGAATGTGTAATATATGGTGCATTTTGTTTGTATGTTAATTTTACTAATATTAAAAAAAAAAGGTGCCCTATCGGATTTGGTCACTGTGGAAGCCGTTTGAGTACAGTGAACTCACTTTCACGTACAAAAAAAAAAACTGTTTGAGATGAGTTTTGCAACATGGTTCATGATCCTGGTGGATGCTGCCGCCAGAAGCGGTCATAGAGTGAGGAACATGGTCAACAATACTCAGGTAGGCTGTGACTTTTACATTATGCTCAGCTCATATTAAGGGGCCCAAAGTGTGCCAATAAGTTATGCACCATGCCATTAGACCTCCAAGACGGATCCATGTATTCATGTTGTTTCTGAAAGTTGCAGCAGAAATCGAGACTCATCGGACCAGGCAGGATTTTTCCAATCTTTAATTGTGCATTGTTGATGCGCCTGTGTGAACTGTAGCCTGAGTTTGCTGTTCTTGCTGCTATGAAATTTATGAAATATTCAGTCTGTGTCTACATGCCTAAATGCATTGAGTTGCTCTGTGATTAGATAGCCATGTTACTGAGCAGCTGAATGGTAAATGGCCTGTATTTATATAGCGCTTTTCTAGTCCCTAAGGACCCCAAAGCGCTTTACACATCCAGTCATCCACCCATTCACACACACATTCACACACTGGTGATGGCAAGCTACATTGTAGCCACAGCCACCCTGGGGCGCACTGACAGAGGCGAGGCTGTCGGACACTGGCGCCACCGGGCCCTCTGACCACCACCAGTGGTCAACGGGTGAAGTGTTTTTAACTCACAGCAAAGGGAACATACCTAAATAAAAGCTCATGCTATACTCACTCAAACTCTAGGTGAGAATCTGCTGACATGGACTTAATTCCTCACGGTCTTCCACTCATTTTTATAATCACTGTCTAATATCACAGGTTTTTACTTCAAGATATGTAAAATGTTTAGGCCATGCCATCAAAAGTTTCACTAAGAGTTGTTTTCATAATTAATCAGTTATTTTGTCCAAAAATTGCCCCATAGCTGTGAAAAGTCTCCATTTTCATAAACCTGAGGGTGAGGCCTTAATTTCAAGTCAAGTCAAGTCAAGTCAAGTTTATTTATAGAGCACATTTAAAAACAACCAAGGCTGACCAAAGTGCTGTACAGTAGATACAGATAAAAATACAATAGAACACAATTTCGTAGTAACACCTCGCTGATAAAAAGAAAATAAAAACAAATAAAAACAAATAAATTAAACCTTTCTAAAAGCCAATGAAAAGAGGTGAGTTTTAAGAGCGGTTTTAAAAAATTTGTCTTCCCCTTGCAAACAGCCAAGAACAGACAAAAGAAGTACATCCTTAAAATTAAAAACAAAAACAATGGAACATTTACAAATTTTGTGTGGTTGGTTTAAAAAAAAATGCTTGTAAAAGTAATTTGTATGAGTAGTTCATGTGAGCCTGGCAGAATGAAGCGTTTCTTTAGGAAAAAACAAACATTTGAAATGGAAAATAAAAACAAGTCTTTTCAAAGTTCATCTATCTGTGTATGTATTTACTTAGTTATTTGCTTACTTACTTATTTTATTTTTGTAGTTCCAGAAGTCTGCATTCCTAACGCGGAACTATTCTTCAGACTTCCGGCAAAGGGGGGACATTTTTTTACCTCCTTCCACAACGTTCCGTTTCCAGCATTTTCTGTGCTCGGCGAGTAAACGCAGGAGCACCGCTTGAGAGCCCGCAGCAGCCAGAGGCTTCTAGAAACAGCGTGCGCATCGGTGGATAGTCACCGGCAGACACCTGCTTTCTGCTTTTAACATTACACAGTTAAACGTTTCTTATTATTTATTCAACAAAATGGCGAAGTGGGGAGAAGGAGACCCTCGTTGGATTGTAGAGGAGAGAGCTGATGCGACTAATGTCAACAATTGGCATTGGTAAGATCTAATGAAAGGACATTGGTTTTTAGCTGTTAGCCTAATGCTAACACGACACACCGAGCTCCTGTTAGTATCAAACTGTAGTTTATATGTTTAGATTTGGATCAAGTAAGGTTAGGTCATTATTTTGTCTGTAGCCGGCCTCAAGTATTGAGGTATATAAAAGTTTGAAACAATTAGGCGAGCTAACATTGCAGGCGTTCTTAAGTTAGCTTCGCCTGTAGCTAGCCGCTGAAGCTTCAAATGCATGTGTAACGGCTTTTAACATCAGTAGCGTTAAAATGCAGCATGACTAATTGTATCTACTGCAGTATTCTGGTGTAGTAACAAGCTTTATAGTCTCTCGCATTTGGTAAGTTTACGGTTACCAATGTTTCATCGGTTGCACCAGAACACGTGTGGTAGCCCCAATTACAACGTGACTGCACTTTTTATAACTGCCCTACGCAAAATAATACGAATGAATTCATAGTTTGTAAATATGGCATTTGTTCGTCTTCTGTAATGATCCCGGAGCATTTGATTACAGGCTTTTCTCTGTAGCAGCCATACTCATTACTAGCAAGGGGCGCTGTCACCAGTCAACTAGAATGTGGTTCTCAGATTTGTCACTTAAGCCGGTCTGTGCCCACCTTCCCAGCTGTGGTGACCTCCTAAAATACATTTGTATCTAGCAGAGGATTAGAAAGCTGATGTCAGAGGCCATCTGACTGGGTGATCCAATTGTGACGTCCTGAGTAGTTACCAGTAATGTACACTTTACAACTGTACACAACAACTGTACACAGTTGGGTGTTTTTTGTTTGATCTCCCCCTTTTGTGTTATGAAGATAAAGAACCCTTCCCACTATATATTGTTTTTAACACATTTAACTAGTGCATAATGAGTGGCCATATAGGGTGAATCTGATTCAGTCATGTGAGGAGAGGTTCCAGTAGGAAAGGCATCTGGTGTAAAACCTCTGCCAAATTAAACATGTGGAGCTTCCCGCTGTGGCAACTCCTTGTGAATAAGAGAGCAGATCCAAGTACCATGATCTTCCTCTTGCTAGTTTACAATTGATGTGACTGAGCAGGTAAATCTTGGCCAGTCTAGCCTCACATTTGCCAAACGACCAGTGTCAAACAGACATACAGTGGGGCAAAAAAGTATTTAGTCAGCCACCGATTGTGCAAGTTCCCCCACTTAAAATGATGACAGAGGTCAGTAATTTGCAC